CAATATTAATTTATTTTTGAAATCAAAATTAATAAGCATGTTTCATAAAATTTAGTGAAAATTAATAAAAATATATAAATAATTAATTAAAAATTAGTTATTAATAATAGATTTACATTTTTTTTTATGTTCAATAATAGATTTATATTTTAAATGAGGTGTTTTTTTTTTTTTATGCAGATTTTAAATGAGGTGTGGTATTTGAAAAAGATGCTTTAAAGTTAAACGAAGCCAAAACAATATTTGCATAAAATAAAGTCCACTTACCATGTGAAGACGCAGCGTTTTCAGTTATCTTTGGCTTCAGTGAAATTTCAATTTTGGCGATCCCGTTTTTCTCTCTCCCAAATTCATGCTTTCTCTGATTTTCCCACTCCCCAGCAGAGGTAAAATTTCAAACCAGATCTGCTTACTAATACTACCATTTGCATCTCATCATTTAAAAATTTTTGGTGTGTTTTGATCTTCTACAGCAAGAAAATGGATCCCAATTCAGTTAAATCCACTTTGTCGAATTTAGCATTTGGGAATGTAATGGCAGCAGCTGCTCGTGATTACAAAAAGATCTCATCTTTTTTCACTTTTTCTCCTCTTTACTAAATTATTTAGACAAGGCTGTGTTTTCTCTGTCCAAAACTGTAACTGGGTTTATGACAAACTATGTCTATCACATGCAATCTTGGGCAGGAATACTGCAGAAGACATGTTCTAGTTTCCTTTTGCTGACAGCTACTGTAATAAATGGATGGAACTGAATTTATGGTTGATGATGTTCATGAGTTCTTTTATGTTTAGTTGTTTCACAGTTTTTTTCTTTTTATTGGTCAGAGTTGTTTTACAGTTTTGCATTTCTGTTTTGGGTTGAAGAAATGGGTTTGTGACTTTGTGGTGTTATTTAGATACTGTAGATAATGATTGGGTAAGAATTTTGAAAATGTTATGGACCGGATCGAGTAATATGTTTAAGATTGTAGTGTGTAATTGTTTGAGTTGGTTATCAACTAGGCACTGAGTTGTAGTGTGTAATGTATTCTGATAATGATCTTACAGGAACTTCTTGCCCAAGAGAAGACACAGGCATCAAGTTCAAAAAATGATGAGGTTGATCTTGACGAGCTTATGGATGTAAGTGTGTTAAAAGGTTTTAAGTTGCTTCCTGAATTAATTGTTCCAAAAGCATTGATTCTCCATTTTACAATTACACTGCCATGACATCTTTCTGCGTGGATTCATGTTCTCTCTACTGACAGGATCCTGAGCTGGAAAAATTGCATGCTGATAGAATTGCAGCTCTAAAGGTTAAATATTCAATATCTCATGTGCCATTATTTGATATACTGCTTAGATCTGGATAGACTTTCTGAAATTTGTAATCACACTAGGATTTATTCGAATAGAAAGAAGCTGAGAAGCGAGAAGCCTTAAAAAGGCAAGGACACGGAGAGTGTAGGGAGATAAGTGAAGGAGATTTCTTGGGTGAGGTCACTGGGAGTGAGAAGGTGGTTTGTGACTTCTACCATAAGGAGTTCTACAGATGCAAGTAAAACTTCTCTCTCTTCCACATGCATACACACCCCACTACAAACCATGTGCATCTACGTGCATCACTGCGTCTTAGTCCCTATGTTGCAAGACTTGGTATTGTTGATGGGTAATCTAGAAAAATGGATAAGCATTTGAAAGCCCTTGCACCAAAGCATCTGGATATGAAGTTCATCAAGCTGGATGCTGAGGTGAGCATTAATGAGTTTGTTGTTTCTAGAATTCGATACAGATTTCTCACATTTTACTATGGTTTTTGCGACTTGTGATTCTATTATAAGCTTTAGATTTTTGTTTTATCTGGTGAATGCATAAATCATGTATGTTAAATTAGAGACTCATCTTTGCATGCAATATTGAGAATGCACCATTCTTTGTTGCCAAACTTGCAGTCAAAACGTTGCCTTCTGTCATATTTTCAGGTCAGCAGTCTTTCCTGGTTTCTATTTAGGTTTAAGTACCATTTTGGTCCCTCAACTTATCACTTTGGTACCAAAATTGTCCCTCACCTTTAAAAAGTACCAAAATTATCCTTAAACTATCATTTTCGGTACCAAAACCATCCTTCCGTCAGTTAAATGACAGGTGGCACGTTATCTTACCACAAAATCACATTTTAAAAAAAATAATAATTACGTGGAAAATAAACTTAATGAGATGGTATTTTTCTTTTTTGTGGCAATTTTTTCTTATTTAAATAAAAACCCACATAATTTAATATTAGATTATTCATCTTCTTCTTCCTCGCTTCGTCTCTCTCATCCATTCG